ACCGAAGTGCTACGGGGGCCCTGGGCTCAGCAGATCACAGGCCCCCCGCGAGCGCTGGCCAGGTTTCAACCTGCTCTCTGAAAGCCAGAGGCAGCCTTTATTCCAGTTCTGAGCGCTGGCTGGGGCCGAGGACTCCACGCCATCAAATACTTTAGGGGCGAGGGTGGTGGTGTCCACTCAGCTCTGTTCTCACAGGGAAAGTGGCCCCGAAACACTGGCCGAGCTCAGTCGCTGAGCCCTTTCTTCTCACTGACAGGGGAACGACAGGGCGAGTGACCGATGGCCTCTGCGGGTCCTGACTCATGCCAACCCTCTGAGAGTCAGGAGCTCAGCATTTTAACCAGCAGTTCATGTCGCGAGGACAGAAAGCACACAGAGGAGGTTGAGTTGGGGGGGGAGAGGCGGTCCCCAAACCCCACAGATTTTTCTCCCTTTTCGAGTCATCGAGTTGGTTCACTGAGGTGTCAGTGGAAACCACTAGAGGTAATAAGAGACCAGAACTGATGGGTTCTCAAAAATCCACATGGCTCAGTGACCAGGGAGTGTGTGGACAGCCTTCTCCACTGTACCTGAGTTCTCCTCAGAGTCGGGTACATTTGAAGAGCAGGCTTGAGGCGTCGTGTCATCCCAAACATCTCTCACTAGAATCTCTCCCCAGAGGTGACCTCCAGTAGGCCGTGGACACGTGGGGCGGTGAGGAGGATGGATGATGAATATGGTGAAGTCACCACACAGCCCTGTCCCAACTCTAGCACTGGCTCCCACAGAACTCTGTGAGTGTACCCTGGTGTCAGGCAGGAAGGGGCATTCCTGTTGGTGGGCTTCTTCCTCCCTTGGTGGAAACGGCAGCAGTGTTGGGTTCTGGAGAGCGCACTTCCTCTGGAGGAAGTCAGATGTGAGCACTGTCTCTCAAGCTTCGGCCCTGTGTCCAGGGCGATTTCCAAGAAGGCCACCTCCAGGAGGCCACGTGGGTAGTCCAGCGGAGTCTCCCCGGCATTTTGGACCATCTCAGTGGGAAACAGATTCCGGTGATTTCTGAGAGTCAACATGCCAACGGCACCAACATCCATTGAGAGGAATGCAAATGTCTCTGGTGGGGAAAGAGCTTGACCGATTGCTTCAAAAAGACTTTTTTTGGGGGGGTGGGGTGGGCTTAGGGGTGGGGGTGCGGTCAGATGGCACCTGATTTCCCCTCCTTGGTTCTTGAAAAGGGCCCATTAGGAAGAAGGAGACCCCAGAGCAAAGGAAGTGTGGATTCCACACAGGAAGGAGGAGCCGTCTTCACCAAGCCACCTACTTCCTGTAGAACAGTGAGACACCGGGTACTAACCATGAAGGCCTCGTCAGTAAATGGCCGCACACTTTGAGCCTGTGTCCTCACTGCAAAGACAAGAGGAACAAGCGTTTCCTGGAGTTCTCTGGCTCCCCGAGGGAGCCCCCTGGGTGCATTGCTAGAGTTTCCATCTCTTTGCTTTTGCCTCGTTACATTTCCATCCCACTTGCCACTGCCTGCGGGTAGCCTGGGTTTCGAGCCTGCCGCCCTCACTGGTTTGGCGCTGTCCTGAGCTGGGACCTGGCACGGCTAAGTCGCTGGCAGAGCAGCTCCTGGCTGGTCTTGTTCACTGCTGTACCCGAGGGCCCAGCCCAGTGCTTGCATGGAAGAGGCACTCGAGACGTATTGAATGATGATCACAGGAAGGGTGTAGAGGGGACGAGGGAAACTTCCAGGCTGGAGACATGGGTCCAAGGTGTCCGAGCAGCACCCCTTTGGTGAGGATGGAATTTCCACTGGCCGGCTGGAATATAATGTTCGCCTTGTCAGCCTTAGGGGCAGTCTACCAAGGAGTTGAAAGAGTTTGGCAAATCTGAGCCAACATGTATGTGGGGGCCAGCAGAAAGCAGAGTCCCCCAAGAGGCTGTGGCCATTGATAGTTTCGGACACCCATTTTTGAGCCAACTGGGGCCAGACCTTGGGGTACTCACGAAGACTGGGAGGCTGGAAAGCCTAACCCAGTTTGAACCACCCACACCCAAGGCCCGTCCAGCACATCTTCATTGTGAATTCTGGGTTCCTGTTTCCTCTGCTGTCCATCCAGGGGTCTACAGTGGGCCCAGCTCATCCGCAACATCCAGAGTCTACTTTCCTCCAGTCTGCAAGGGAGAGACCGTTGGATTCTTCCAGGCCACCGTCCTCTTTTGTAGGGCAAGAGTAGAAACACGATTTGGGGGAGCGTGACAGCTCTGGAGTGTCTTGCTGGTCCCTTGGCTTCACGAGCACAAGATTGATGGATTGCTGGGACTCGGCCCCAGGCCATTCCCCAACTCTCTCCACATTTACCAGCACACTCCACTAACCGGTCCCCGAAGAACCTTCCGCGGTGGATGGGAGGGAGGCAGTTGGAGACCATTTTCCAAAGTTTTAAAATAAAATGGAAAGATAAATATGCTTAAAGCTATTCTATTCCACATGGGTGGCAATAACTACCAGCTGTCACCGGGAAACAGCAGATGTAATTGATAAAACAATTGAAAACTCTTGTGGGTCCGTCATCAATAAAGTTAACACCCCAAAAGTAAATGAAAGAGTTCAAAGTAAACTGGATAAGCTCCCCAGGACTGGCAATAATTAAATCATGGAACTACACATGAGCCTAATTTTTTAAATGCAGATTAAAGAGACGGATCAGCTGGGCCACTTGCTTTACTGGGTGAGGATGGGCCACCATATGCTGCTCGTGAAAATGTCATTAGCTGAGGTGGCCATGGTGAATGGGGGGGGGGGGGACTCTAAGGGGGTGTGTGCTGGGAGGGGGAAACCACCATTCTTATTTCGAAGGAAATTCGGGACAGAACATTTACCCATAATAAGCAAAAGTATGAAATTTCTGTCCAGATGGAGCAGGGAATGGATCGTAATATTATTCATTACCACAGTTTAGCACTAAACGTGCAACACCTACGCTAATTTATTGATGGACTGTTTAAGACGGGTGTTAACCTGTTTGTCTTGTATTATAATTGAATTCAGTCTCTGGGCTACAGAAATTTGAGAAGTTCATCCTTTCTCAATCAATATGCTCCCCTTCAGTGACCCATTTCAAGACAGCTTCATAAAAAATAATGTATTTTGTTTTAATAAATTTAAACACTATGACAGCTGCTCAATTTTTATTGGTTGGGTTTTTTTTCCCTCCCTTCAGATGTCTCTTTGCTGCCGAGAGAAGCCAAGCTCACAATCAATAGTAATTGATTAATCAGCATCCCCTTTGAACAAAGGTGCTAATCAGTTTTTGATTAGTTCATCAAAGCAGATGCAAAGACAGCCCGGCCCTAGCCCGATAGATCATCAGCGAGTGTTCTACATGACTTATGGCTCCCAGGCAACGAGCGGGCTCCGTGCTGGGGGGGGTGAAGGGGGGGGGCACCACGTAATTATTAATTTAACGAAATTGTTATGAACACAAAACAGTTGTTGGTTTATTGCTCCTGACTCGGGGATGATGGATGAGACCTCAGCAAGGCCACATTGGACTCGGTGCAGAGCGAGGGACCGGCGTGCTGCTTAAATGATGACCCTGGAGGTAGCACAGTGTGGGCTGAGGCGGTCTGGTCTCCCATTTTCCGACGAAGGCAAACGACTCCTGCATGAGTTGTGAGCCACCTCTGGGCTGACAGGCTGCGAGCAATCAGGACTGAGAGAACTTGGTCTTGCTGGGGCCTGAGACAGGGGCTCTGTGAGCAGAGTCTGCATCCAATCGAGCTCTGAGGAGGGACGTTCAGAGTTCCTCGAAAAGGGAATCTGGCTGGTGGATTTCCTCCAAACACGCCGTGCTGGTGGGTCACCCTCTTATCTCCTCTGTTGCTCTGTTTCGACTCACTGGGTCGGGGAAGCGGTGATTTGGCCAACGAGTGTCAGTGGAATCCTTCTGCCATGGACTGACGCCGACTCAGCAGTGAAACGAGACCCAGGTGGGCCCGGGCTACGCTGCTCTGCAAATACCCCACAGCTGAGCCCAAGCTGAGACCCGCGGGCTTCCCTGAGGTGTGAGGAAGCCCAGAGCAGCCCAGCCCAGGATGGCGCCTTGCGGGCAGGTGGGGTTCCCCTGACCCTCTCACCGGGGAAGAAGCTCTGGCACCCAGGATGGTGGTGATTCAAGGCCAACCATCGGAAGTGCTGCGGTTGACGTCTCTTCTAGAAGCTTCTCTCTGGAAACTTTCTCTCCAGCTGGTGGGGGGTAGGGGGGAGTATGCAGCTACTGTCCTGGGTTACGGCTGTGGCTCCACCGCTTGGAGGAGGAGACTTTTATTGATTAGTTAAGAAGCGACGGTTGGACACGCCAAGGGAGCGGTTCCTGGCTGGCAGGGAGGCCCGCCGCAGCACAGGGGCTCACATAATTGTTTAGTTCTGACCTCCTCTCCCTCCCTTTTAGGATGTGCCTCTTATTCCGCATTAGTAACACCCAAATCCTGGAACCAAGCATGAAACCGACTGCTGCAAGAGCTCAGTGTGCTGTGAAAAAGGTCTGAGGTGGGTAATTAGTTTCCATCGTGACGTGTGGTAAAACAGTCACCCCCCTCTCCCCGGGTTCTCCCCCCCCACTCCACGTCTATGTCTGAAGCAGCCTTTTCTAGTCTGTTCCACAGAAGTAGGTGGCGACTTAATGGACAAGTTCACAAAGCGAAGAACCTGTCTCCCGTGCCCGCATCCTTCAACTGCTCACTAACACCACAAGATTTCTCTCGAGCCATTAAATACCTAGAACATAAAGACCATTTTTAAGGCATTCGCAGAGATGCGTTGGCCAACACCCCCACTCGAAAGCCTATGGCCCCTCCCAGAGGGGAGAGTGCCCGGCGAGCAGAAGGTGGGATGCATTCAAGTCGCTTTTCCTTTAGTCTTAGAATCCACAAGTGCTCACAAACCAAATGGCCCTTTGGTCAAAGTGGACAGACCCCCACGGATTGGACACTGCAGGCCTTACCTAATGACTAGCCCTTACCTGCAGGGTCCTCACTGTCCAGTTCTTCTGCGGAATTGGGCAACTGAGTAAGGCCTTACAAGTAAAAACAAATCGTGTTTCTTTTTGTTCCTCAAGGGACATAAACAAAACACTTCAAAACTGAGAATGAGTTTCTTTAGAAAAAAAATAAAAATAAAAACATGAGCCAAATCTCTTGCTATCTCCCCGTTTTTGGTTTTTTTTTTTTTTGGATTGCTTGAATGTATTAATCTCTAAGCACATCTTCCCAATCATTTAATTTTGTTATTGATACACAATCAAGGCAGAAAGATTCCTCAGTCTCCACTTTTAGAGCACACGAAACATGAAGGCGAATGTTAAAAATCACTCACTCATCACAGCACGCGAAAAAAGGGTGAAAAAACAAAAGCCTGATTGCGAGTTGTCGATGCTCTGAGACAGCTCAAATACATTTAGATGTTACATACTGATAGATGTCAGTTTTATTGCACATTTTACTGCAAATTGAAATCCTTGGCCAATACTGACAAATCCAGTTCATTATCAATTTATGACGATCTTGGATCACTTCTTTCAAAATGGCGCAGCATCTGCTAACCGCAGATTGCGGGTTATGCCTTCATCAGAAAATCAGATTCACACACACAAAAAAAACAAAAAACAAAAACTTTTTTTTTCCCCTAACAAGAATTTCAAAACTCCGTGGGATTCACCTGAGCCACAAAACCCTCAAAGCTGAAAAAGCAGTTAGGTCAGGAGAGATAACCAAGTGGGGTTCAATGCCTCTCTCTGAGCCACCCCCAAAGCTGGCCGGCGGTGATGGCTCTGAGTCGAGGTGGAGACAGGAGGGAGACAGCGGGGCTCACCTAGGGGAACGGCTTCCACTTCCTCCTGGTCTCTGCGGGCTGTTCCTTCGAACGCTGTTCCTGAACACAATGTTAGCCACCCAAGCAGGCCTCCACTGGTTCTTCGCTGTCCTGATCCAAAAACCTGCCTCACGGCTCCGGCCTCTCTGATTCACACACTGACTTGTTAATACATTTTTGGAGATATTTGTGGACCGATTATAACAGTGCAACTTTGAAGAGAGAGGCATGTCTTGGCTAACTTTTGTTTTGTTTTGTTTTGGTCTTCTTGCCAGAGAGGAAACTATAATCTATCTGTGGAATTGATGATTTGTGAGTAATGCTTAGTGAAGTACCGACCAGAGCATAAAAGTAACCGAAACAAATGCTCTGGAAACACACAGTGTCAAACTGATCATTAAAAAAAAAAAAAAAAAGAGGAGGAGGAGGAAAAAAAAAACACCCCCAACAACATCTGAACAGAACATTCATGTAGAAATGATTGGTCTTGGGTTTCCACAGAAACCTGGATTTTGCAAGCTGTTTTATAAAGCGCTTGGTTGGCACCGGGAGAGGAAATCACTGCATTAGCAGCTCTTGAAGAAGGATTTCCATCAATGACCCTTAGGTGCCAATATTCAAGGCCAGGTGCCAAGTGAAATGGGAGCATTTCTAGCCCACGGCTGTTCCCAGACTATGGATTTGGGCATAAGTAGTGCAGTAAATCAGAGGCAACTGGGTAGTGGGGGAGGCAGCCATTTGTTCTGAAAACGGATTGGTTGAAAAGTGGTCCCATTTCTAATTGGCTTTATCCATTGTATAAAGACTGATGAATACAATTATTTGAATAATTGTTATAAATGGGCAACATAAAGTACTCCTCTGTAGTTAATTATGAATTTGCAGTTCTTGGAAGGCTAATCCCTCACTTCTACGTGGCCCAGTGACTATCAAAAGAGTATGGTACACAAGCGCTGGGCACCCGCTGACCACAGGAACTCCATGGCTTGAGCAGGTGGCTTTGTCCTGGGGGAAGGGGCTTGTGCCCTAGAAGGGCATTAGGAAACAAATCTTTTTAAAGAAAGGACAAATACGCAATACGGATACGCAAAGCTCCCTATTAAAAAACAACAGACAGTTGATATCCACCTCATTAAAGATGAAACTGTCATTTTTAATGGTATGAATTTAAAAAGATGTCCAAATCATTTGGAGGCTAGGGCTACGATTCCTAGCCAAAGCAGGAAGCCATTTAGGTTAGTGGCATTTTTTTTTTCCTTTAATGAAGTTAAGAATTTCTGTTAACTTCAAAACTTCATTTTTGCTCTGCTACTGTCCTTTCCAGTGTCCACAGTGCCTCTCCGTAGTTGGCCGATTCCTGAATAAATATGATCAGGGCATTGACTGAAGCACTGGAGTGCAAATGAGGAAGTGCTAAAGCCACTGCCCCAGAGGGCTTTGGCTGAGGTATCATTTTTTTTTTCTCAATTGTTAAAAAGGAACCCCCTATTGTTTTATTGTTAGGGAAAAAGAAAAAAAAAGATGCACTTTATGAAGCAGGGAACAATCTTCCAAAGGGAACCTTCACCATTCAACAAAAAGTAGGAAATGACTTCTTGCTCTTTCTCTTCAACCCTTCCATCACCAAGCCCTCTCTCGCTGTTTCAAATGAAAACGTCTTCAAATTCCTTTAAACTTTGTTCAACCAATTAAAGCTGACTCTGGCTACCTGAGGGCTTTTTTTTTTTTTTTAAGCAACTACTAGAATCCTAAGGTGCAACCGTGACCCTTCACGATGTGTGTTAGACGGCCTCTCCGTTGGACACGACGTGTGGCCCACATCTCGGAGCGCCTTCCGCACTGACTAATCTTCTGCACAGGCTTCCTGGCAGGCTAAGATGTGGCCTTAACTTTAAACCAGGCTACTGAAAAACCCCCAATGAGTGACAACAGAAAATCCTCCGGATAATCAGAATCAAGGTCCAGTTGAAATGTTTGTGGGTTTGGTTTATCAGTTTCCTAATCTCAGAAAAAAAAAAGTCAAAGGAGAGAAAAACCTCAAGGCAATAAAAACTGACCTGAGGACCATTTCCCAGAGGAAGGAGGCGAAGGTTTCTCTCTTACCTAAGCGGACTACATCTGATTCCCTAGGCCAGCAGACGGAACCACCAGCAGCCACACCTCTTCAGACTATCCATCCCTCTCCCCCCCAACCCCCCTCAGAGTTTGAGTCTAAAAATCTCAGTCATCCTGTTCTTCCTGCTTTGTCAGCTTTTGTGGAGAGTTGATCCCTTCTTCCCATTAGCAGAAATTTGGTTCACGCCATTGTACGGTAGCACACTGTTTCCAAACTGCATATCAAGGCTGAAACCCAATCTCCCGGCTCTGCAGCCATTGGCAAACGCCTTAGCTTTGTTCTGGAGAAGAACCTCCAATGTCTGCAGTTCTGGGACTGAATGACAGCCACTGAATGTCACTGCCGGGTGCTCAGACGGAGATGTGCAGAGGGGACACACACAGAGGGGTGGACATAGAGGTTGTAATAATGCGCACTGCTGGCTTTTCCCGGAAAGTGGGCGACAGAATGCCCCTCCCCACCCCCCGGCAATTGGATGGAAAGTCAGAGAAGAATTTTCATGTGCCATTAAGATTCTATCATGGCTCTTACTACTTACAAAGTAATCCAGGGGAAAGGGAGATTGGCGGGCAGTTACCTTGGGTCTGAGCGTGTATTCAAACGTTTGGAAATGAAAACCAAGAGTCAAGACTGTTCCCCGTTTTGAGTCTTAACCGCAATCCCATGCCGGATTAAAAACGATTGGAGAACTCAGTTTGGGATATTGAAATCCATGAGCTCATCTGCCTTCAATGTATCAAGGGAGAGGTAGAAAGCAGAACAGAGAAAGGACAGGCCGACTTAAAAAAAAATGAGAGAGAGCGAGACAGAGAGACAGAGAGAGACAGAGAGAGAACCTTGACCCCAGAGGAAGCCAGCTGACTGCAGTGCAGCAAAAGCACAAACACTATTCCAGACGGTTGCAGACCACACGTGCATGCTGTTCCCCGGACCCTCACGTGGGGGAGGTGGGTGGGAGAAGGGAGAAGGGACACACGGGGCAGAGGAGGAACAAGGCACAAGACATTACAGGGAAGCGCCCCACGTCTGAGCAAACATAAAAACGGACACGCACCCACACGTCAATGGTCATGATTAGAGCTGCACCATCCGTGCTGTGAACCACTCATGCATTTCGACTTGAGAGGGGTGGGGGGGTGGGTGTCCCGATGGCGTGGCCCCGGGCTTTGGCAGAGTTTTTGGCATTGTTCAACATGCACACAGAACACAGGACTCCTCCTGTCCAGGCCTTAAGGATGAGCTCCAAAAACACAAATGCTCAAGACCCTTATTTAAAGAAGATCCCTCTGGCCACCCTAGTCTAAAAATCCCATTCGTTCACGGATATTTAGCATTGCTACCAATTAGATCCTTAAGGACGCACTGTTGCTGATTGCTGTTTGGTTTCTTTCTTTCTTTTTTTTTTTTTTTTGGAGAAAATCCATTCGATTTTGAATCATGCCCATGCATGTCTAACCCTTCCAGTACATGCTTATTCCAATCCAATATTGGTAAGAACAAAATGATCAACATACATAAACAACTGGTATACTTCATACATACGCTAGCAACACAAGCTTGAATTAAAGTATTTTAATGAGTCTTCAAAGGGAAAGGCTATTTTTGGTTTTTGTTTTCGTAAAATTACTTGTTTGCTTTTTGTAAAAGAGAAATATTGAGGCAATTCCAGTTGAAAACACTTAATACCAGTAAATGGACTGACCTGGTATGTCTTGTCATTTAAGTTGCCAAGTTACCAAACCACCTCGCGTTTTTCAAGGCCCGAAATTTCCATAATGAACATCTCAAGATGATTCTCAAATGAATCTAAGTCAGTGACTGCCCTGAAGAAGCTGGCTCTTTCGCCCTCACACTCTCAAACAGAATCAGTTTTATGGAAAATTGATACCACTTTGGAAAACTAGTTTACCCATTTTGTAATTTCTACTGCATTCTATTACCTATTCTTTCCCAACAACTGTCCTGGAAGACTTTTTCCCTCGATCAAGTGAAACTCCAGATAATACCTGGGAGTCAGAGCAATAGTACAGAAGGCAAAGAGTTTGTTGACCTGGGTTCAATCCCTGACACCATATGTGGTCCCCCAAGCCAACCAGGAGGGATCTGAAGTGCAGAGCCAGAAGTTAACCCTGGCACCCAAACTAAAACCAAAGAAGATAACACTTTGAGTTTAATTAAAGCTTTTTGGTGTGGACTTTTTAGTGGGACTGTTCAAAGGAGTGGCAGGATTCCTTTGTTGAGGGTGCTAATGAGGATTTTGGACAAGTTGGAGACTGTGTTTATACTGGCTACTACCTCACTCTGGGGATCACTTCCCCTTTCATGTTCGGGAATCGTACATTGATATCAAATCTATATTGACAACTATTTGATCAATCGTACATTGATCAAATCTATATCTACTTCTATATCTGAATCTACACACACACACATTTTAGTGTGGATGTTACTGACCCACAGTGCAAGCAAAACCAACTTCTTTTTGATCTCCCCCCATTTCTTGCTCTGGGCCTATTTTACATGCACTGTAAATCAACTCCGTACACCACAACACCCCTTACTTAATTACTGTCCCGAAACTATAAGCCTGTCACAACACACAAATATCTCAGTTCCCTTCCGCAGGAATCCTTCCAAAACCTATTCCAAGTGTATCGTAGAATGTCCTAAAGACACCCTTATCTCTCTCTCACTTTCTCTCTCTCTCTGGAAAGACCTGGTCAAGAGTGGTATCTTAAAATCGGGATTACTGTTTCAAGCTTGATTGTTTCTCAGGCCAGGAACCCTACTCCTATTCTGAATACCCATGCCAACTCCAACTCCACCCACTTCAGTCACATAAAGACATGGGTTTTATTGAAGGGGCCTAGAGAACAGAACTAAGGAGTTAGGAAATAATCAATATTTCTTCAAAGATCTCACAGAATCCAAGAACCTTCTGGTAACGTTTGACCCTGGAGTTAATTATAGGAAACTCAGAACTTAAAGCATCTCAAATAGAACAAATCTTTTGAACGACGTTAAAATAGCCTTAAAGCTCGGAGAATAATCGATGGAAGTCAGGAAGTGCTCAATTAACGATGAAACCTACAAATAACTAAGCTTAATGGAGTGCAATGCATGAGATGGAGCAAGGATGTAGGGGCATTACCTTATAAAGTGGAAGTTTTATACCTAATTGATTTCTCATGATCCTCAATGTAGCTGGCCCTTTAACTTATTTAATGAACCTTTCCCTTCGTACCAGGGGCAGGGGAAGGTAGAATGGCTTGGGAATGGCCTAAGGAGGGAGATTCCTGCTCACCACTTAAATTTGTTTTGGTTTCTCAGAATTCCCCATCAGAAAGTCTGAACAGGTGGGTGATCCACCCGCCAAGCGTCAAGCCGGCCCGGGGACAGTTCCTAGAGAGAAGCTTCACTTAGAGATTTCCAACGGACGCATCCTGGCAGGCAGGTGTGTAGAAAGAGATGCGTCTCTAAAAGCCTAGCAAACAGTCAAGTTTGGCCAATCACCTCTTTTCACTGAAGTGATTGACTTCAGGGCTGCCCAACAGTCAATGTGATTCAAGGCAAAGTGATGCCTTTTATCACACACTCCGCTTAGAGTCAACGATTAAAATTCAAGCCCTTTAAAAACTACCTTCTCTTCCTCCGAGCACGATACGGCTAGGCTAAGGTTGGCGCTAATAGAGAAAGTAAACATAGCTCTAAATTTTGCTTGGAGTGAGTGAATGCTCTATCTTGTCCAGGAAGGCGGTGGTGAGGTGTGGGGGGCGGGGGGGGGGGGGGAGGAGGACGTGACGCTTCCCTCCTTTCCCTCTTGGCTCTGTTCACTTGGATTTTTTTTTTTATCTTTGGTTGAAATCATAACCAACTTTTTTAGTACTTGGCCTACAAAGATAGCCTTATGTAAAGGGTTTCAAGGTCTGGGTTAATGTTAAAATGGACGTCTGGTAAGCATTCTCGATGTGGGGAGGTTTCCAGCTGAGTGTTAGAGTAAATGTCCTCCTGGGCATTGACAGAGACGGAGAGGGAAGCAGCAGGAGGCTGTGAGGCAAATGAGAACAGGAATGTACTGAAAAGAGCAACGATCTTTATTTTGTGGGGGCACACCCGGCAGTGCTCGGGGCTGACTCCTGGCTCTGCACTCAGGGGGAGGCATCCCCAGCAGTGCTCAGGGCTGACTCTTGGCTCTGCATTCGGGGAAGGGGGGGTGGCACACCCAGCAGTGCTCGGGGCTGACTACTGGCTATATATAGTGCTCGAGGGTGACTCCTGGCCCTACACACGGTGGGGGGGGGCACACCCAGAGGTGTTCAGGGATGACTCCTGGCCCTGCACTCAGTGAGGGGGGCGGCACACCCAAAAGTGCTTGGTGCTAACTCCTGGCTGCAGTACTCAGGGATGACTTCTGGCTGTCCCTTCAGGGGGCGCACACCCAGCAGTGCTCGGGGCTGACTACTGGCTATATATAGTGCTCGAGGGTGACTCCTGGCCCTACACACGGTGGGGGGGGGGGCACACCCAGAGGTGTTCAGGGATGACTCCTGGCCCTGCACTCAGTGAGGGGGGGGCACACCCAAAAGTGCTTGGTGCTAACTCCTGGCTGCAGTACTCAGGGATGACTTCTGGCTCTCCCTTCAGGGGGCGCACACCCAGCAGTGCTCAGAGCTGACTCCTGGCTCTGCACTTGGGGAGAACACCCAGCAGTGCTTGGGGCTAACTCTTGGCTCTGCATTTGGGAGGCTGAGAGGGCATTCCAGCAGTGCTCGGGGCTGACTCCTGGCTCTGCACTCCTGCAGAGCTTAGGGGACAATATGGGGTGCTGGGAACCGGGGTGGCTGTGTATAGAGCAAGTGCTCTACCCGCTGTACTATCGATGTACAGCCCCAAAGAGAAACTGCCTTAGGGATCTAAACAGAAATACCACCACCACACAAACAGCACCTCGCAGCCCCTCCCACCCAAAACAAAAACAAAAACAAAAACTTTCGTCCCAACTACTACGCCTCACATATCCCTCCTTCTGCAAAACATACCCAGAACCTGCTCTTTCGACAAAGCAACAGGGCCTTCGATTCAGAGGCTACATTGCAAAGTGGGTGTCTGCCTTTATGAAGCCCCTGGTCATTCAGCAGTGGGAGCAGCGTCGGCAATGGGAAGACCCAGCCAGGCCCCGGCTGAGCCGAAACCAAGGGCCGTCGAACTCACAACGGAAATGACAAGACTCAGCGTCCTTTCAAGCTTCGGAATTAGAATCTATGCCCGAGATCAGGCTGCGTGAAGCCCCATTTCCCTTGAAGACGACATTTTCTCTTTTTCCCAGGCTTGCCTTGCCTCTCAGCAGTGCTGAGAAAGGAGATAAACAGGAATGTGATACCAACCGTGAACCGCTGGCTCTGTCGTCGCCGTTGTGTCTACACGGGAACAGAGGATTGGAGGAAGGGAAGAGACAGGAGGAACGGCATGCAAAAAAAGGGGAGAATGGAAAAAAAATGGAACAGATAATATATGAGCAAGCTTTCAAAGAACATCGCGTGACAAGCAATAATCAAATGAAAAGCAAAAAAGCATTTGAAGTGAGTTGCACTGTTTGAAGACATGCCTTCAGCTCCAAGCTGCGAGCCGGGGAGGAAAACAGCAAAATTCTTTGGTTCTGGGGTCTTGCCAGGACACATCGACTTGCTAGTCAATCGTCAGGGGAACATGCAAAGTGACGAGAAGCACCAGGGCCAACTCGGGTCCCGCGAGATGGCTTTTTAATACATCAAGGCTCAGGAGTATGACAGCGCAGCCGGCTGCGGGCCGCCTCCGCCGTGGATTCTGACATTCAAACATTGCCTTGGTGGGACCCTGCCCCGCCTGAGGGCCTGGCCTTCTTCAGGACCGCCCAAGTCCATGTCATTGAATCAACTGTGCTCTTGGGATCCTTCCTGGCTGGGGCTCAGAGGCCTGCAGAGGAATCTACGGTCTCAGGTGTTTCCATTCAGGGTCTTTCACTCAACGGCTGGAGAGTGGGCACCGGGTATAGGACAGAGAAGGCGGTTTTTAGATGCATCTGACACACACACAGGCACGTCGTGGACACACACACACACATACACACACACACACACACACACACACACACACACACGCCTGTGGTTAATCCTTGAGCGAAGAACTCTGACACGGTGACATTCCAGCCGGCACCTCTGACTAACGTCTCTGCGAATCACGTGGCCTAGCCCGAGAAAAGCTGCTGGCCGCCCCTTAGCTGACAGGTGGGCCCCACGTTCACCGTTGGGTGAGGACACGACATGGTCTTTGTGCGCCAGGCCACATGGGCTTGTCTCCTTCTCAAGTCCTTTCTGTCAAGCTTCCTGAGACTAGCTTCAAGCCAGGCACTGCAGGCAACTACATGACAGGGAATTTCCTCCAGGGGCTGGGGAACGGGACTTCTGGATTCGGGGGCTCAGGGCATGGGGTCAACAGGTAACCAAAGGGATGACGACAACGTCGAGGATGACGAGGACGATGACGATGATGACGGCACACTGTCCTGTCCCAAGGTCATGTGCCCATCACTCTCCCAGCCAGCATCACTGGTAAGCCTCCGGCTGCCTGGGCTTTGGTCCTCAGGCCCTCCATTTTCTTCCTTCCAGAAAGGAGGGGTGACAGGATCTGTTGTCTCTAGTCCAACAGGAACTCGGGGTTAAAGGTGAAAGCTGCTTCCATGGTCCCTGTTCATCAGGCGGCTGTTTAGCAGGTGCTTATCATCCAAGGCCTCCAAAGGTGGACACAGGCAATGTTTTAATGCTCCAGAATGCCAAGCAGAGGGTTTGTACATACATATATTTTAAAAAGTGCATTTTTAATATATGCATTTTTTTCTTTTCACATGAGCCTGGAGTTGTGGATTTAGAAATAGGACCGCTGAATTCACACTGGTGTTCCCCTTCATGTGGCATGTTTTCCTCAGATCTCTACACCAAAAAAAAAAAATCAGGGCCCTTGAAGGGCTTCCTAGAAGGAGCCAGATTTAATAAGAAGTCTGAGGCCATTAGCAGCTTACAATAAATTATGACCAAATTTCTGAAGAATTAAAGGGGGGAAAAAACAACCATACATCATACTGCATAGGAATACCATACTTACTTAGAAGTCAAGTCTTTATGCATATAATACAGTTAAAAAAAAAAACAAACAAACCAGAACACCAAAAAAATCGTACAGTTGAAACATCTCTATCCCAGGCACTGCAGACTCGGCTCCTTAATTGATGCATCCCAGTCAAGGCTTAGTTTGAGGCTCTTTCAATTTGAGGGGCCAAATCAAATGCGTACGGGTACAGAAACATTTACATATGCACGGTAATACATTGTTTTGCATGGCTAGTCATTGGCTCCTTTTACAAGTGTGGGGGGGGAGCAGCAACAAATACTTTTGGTTCAAGATAACTGTTGTCCTGGTGTTTCTAAAAGCCTTTATCATCGGGTAGATAATGGGTCTAAAATAGAAAGAAAAGGGCTGGAGAAAAACCTGAGGGTTAGACTACTTAGAGAGAACATCTTAGCGTTAGCAAGTGACCTCAATGGGGCTGTCTTCCGACGCCATGAAACCAAAGCTTTGGCATAGCTGCCGGGATGGGGGGGGGGGGGGTTGGGGGGAAACACCAGAAAGCATAGCAAGCCAAGTGCACAGTACAGCTTGTTTTCCCGGTCAGGGGAGGGGAAACCCATCCACTGAGCCCAAAAGGGAAGGGGAAGGGAGTGCTGGGAAGGAACACACACGTTCTAAAACAGTCCAAAGCCAACAAGCCAACACACGTTCCAACGACAGTCACTGCAGCTGGAAATGGCACGCAGGCTGGTAGGTTGGCAGTGCAATAGAGGACTAGATCGAGGGGGTATCTGGGGAGTTGCTATTCCATTTCTCTCAGAGCAGCTGGTGTGCTCTCCGAACAGAGGCTATTTCAAGTCAAGAAATGGGGGGCGGGGGAACCCAAAACAATCCGGTTCTCTAGAAGTGACTCTGAGCTTCTTGCAGGAGAGCCTGGTGACAGAACCTTATTCTCCTTCATAATTGCGTTATGACTTCATGCAGAAAACACAGACACCCGGGCTCGGAAATGAGGGCTGCTCTGCGGAGAACGATTGATTAGGGTGTCTTCATCAGGAGACGTGGGGGAGATGTGCCAAGCCCGCCCTGGTGAATCAACTTGTGGGGTCACCCCCCTGGAGGGATAACATTCGCGATGTACAGGCCCAATGCAAATCGCCGTTTTCCAATATGAGTTATAAATGCTGCAATTAACTTGAAAAATGAGAGTGCCTAATTGCCCGAACAAAGGGCTTTTGAAACTTCATTTTGGTGCAGCCTTTAAAATATAATCTTGGAGCTCGGCCTGGGAGAAAAATAGGTCACCACGAAGTTGAGTTAGACTTTACAGTGGGCGGGCGGGTTCCGGGATGTAAAGGGCTGTGCTGAGCTACTGTCTCTATATTCTCATTTTAATTACGAGGAGGGCAAATTTATTGTATGTTTATTTTCTCCGTTTGCAAGAAAACCATCCCCTGTCTTTGCGAACCCAGTGAGCGAGGACGGTCTTAGCTGGCTCTCTCTCGAGTTCTTTTACGACTCCAATCAAACAAGCTATCCGGAGGCAGGGCCCCGGATTGCCATTTGAAAGACGCTCATTTCACTAAGTATTGACTTCTCTGTTACCCAGCCTTCCAGACAGTTCATGGGACCCTCTCCTGAAGGAATAAAAACACGGACCGTGCATGCTGTGGCATAGGGTATTTACAAACTGAAAAGGCTCTGACAACGCATGAGATGGCAGACATCACCATGTAAGCAAGCACCCCAAAAAGAAACACACGGAAATAAGGCTGGAGGAGGCGGCTGGGCACTACTTAGCTGGAACAGTCATGTGTAAGCTCTACCGTGGCATGTTCTAATCCTTTCATATGGATTCTCTCCAACTGCGAATTGTTCATTGAGTGGGTCGGGCTGGGGGTGGGGGGTTTCAAAACTAATCCGGAAATTCGTTCGTGGTCTCCAACACAAACGGACAGTGTAAGTGAAAAGGGAAATCCTGCAAGCAAATTAAATCCACAACCTTAAATATTTTTTTCCTTCTCTGATTGCTCTGTAGCACTCCTGCCTCACGAGGCAAGGACCCCTGTGAGGCTACATTTTTTGGGGGGTTCTGGGTGGGCAAGGCTGGGCATAGGCAAAAAGGCCCAATGTGATCAGGTAGAGGCCCCGACTGGTTGCACAGCAGAGCTGAGAGGTAAGGGACTGGCTGAATCTTCTTCTGACTGTCATAAGCGTGAATGAATGCACACGAAGCAGTCTGGACATATTTTAATACACTTCCCCCCCCCAGTTTATTTTCTTAACTAAAGTCAATAAAGAGCCAATGGGTTTACTTAATTGAATTCCCCTTCAGTTTCTGTTACGGAGCTGCTTTAAATCTAGACACGAGGGCAGGCAAGGAATTCCCCTGACAATTTTATTTTCATAGTTGTGCTGTGCTATTATATATTACATACAGCGTTACCCCTCACCACCACCCCCCACCCTCCCCGCTTCTTATTTATTTGGGACTGGTGTGAAAGGTATTGAGAGCAAGAACACTGGCTGGAAAAAAATTAAGCTCGGAAGTTTATTTTCTAGCAGTGTCTCAGTTAATTTCCCTTCCATCCACATTAGGCTATAATTAAACTCCCATTTCTCAGGGATTGGGGGCTGGGGGTGGGGGGGGGGGGTGGTGGTGAGCAGGAAGAGAACAGAAAGAAAATGAGAAGTCCCAAAGGATGGGACCCCAAGAATTCTTTCTGAAGTTCAAGGTCACTCCAAGGTCACCTTGCCAAGAGCTGGGGAAGTCAATGGTAGCAGGAAAAGGAATCAATTCTCTCTCTCTTTCTCTCTCTCTCTCTCTCTCTCTCTCTCTCTCTGCAATTTCAAGTTTTGTTAAAAGCTTTTTTAGAATTGTTCACCAGTGCTGCCTTGCTCCAGAGATCTTTTCATTTGCAAACCAGATGTTCTGAAAACAATAGGAATCTGTACAGCGGCTGCATTTAACAAGGCAAACAATTCTTGGGTCCTGGAGGGGGTGAAGGCTGGGCCACAGCACAGGGAAGGCAGGAGGCCCCCAAGAGGGCAGTCTGGAGAAGCCACCGCGTGTGTCCCTGTCATGGGTGGACACTGGGGCTTTTGTCTTTCTCCTGTCCAGTGTTCCCTCTTGCCGGCCAGTGAGAGAGCTCACTTGACCCAGGGAAACCTGTATTTCTGAGAACACTGCAGGCCACTTGCTAAATCTCTAATATTGACACTTGTCAAAGCATCATTTCAATTATTTTTATTTATTTTTTGGCTTTTTGGGTCACACCTGGTGTTGCACAAGGGTTACTCCTGGCTCATACACTCA